CAGGCGTGATTAGATCTGAGACTGTGAAAAGCCATCCCGTGTAGCTCGCAGGGTCATGGAGGCACGCAAGCCATCGCAACACGTCAAGGTACAGTCTCGTCATGATAGATTGTGGTATATTTTTTTTCCTGGGAACCTATCAATTTATTACACTAAGCCATATATATTTTGAGGAGAAGGCGAGCTCTGAGCGATAGTATTTATTGTGACGCTTTGATCTAGACTGGGACTCGTCAAAAGATAATACGTGTGTGTGTGGGTCTGCTTGTACCTCACATTGTGGTTTGCGTCGCACTTGTTTGTCCATCAATCCCGCTTTCCTCATTGGTTGTACAATTGTCGCCTACTGTTTATCGATTTCCACGTTTTGATCAAATGAGTTGGTCGAAAGCAGCGCTTCAAGGATCAAACGTTCCCCCCTGCCACTACTTTTGCGTCATTGATTCTGACCTCGTGACTTGTCGTTTCGCAATGGTTCGGGTCAGCGCGTCGTAGTGCAAGTGTGTGTTCATGTAGGAGGCGAGTGCACAGTTGTTTGCCTGTCTCTCCTACGTAACGTTCGTCACAGTCTAGGCACGGAATTGCGTGCATCACCCCTGATCAGTCGTGTGGTTCTACATAGTCCTTGCCGTTGAACAAAATTGACCGCAACGTTGTAGGTTCATGGGCAATGGTAACACCCAGAGGGCGAAGGATGTGATCGACGGCTTCTGATACCCCACCTATGTATAGTAATAAGAGTTTCGTTGTTTTCTTTTTCCCTTAAGGCATGATTGGACGAAACTTTTGGGTTATGCTTTGTGCGGAATTGATGGAGCAGATGTATTCGTTCTTGATGCCGGAGTTCTTCTGTGCTAATATATGTGTGTGTCCGCACGGCGGAATAAAGTGTACGCGCAGCTTCTCACTGGTAAATATATATATATATATATATGTTTGTGTGTGTGTGTGAAACCAGGCCATTCATTTGAGTTTGTGCACAACAAATAGCAAACACGCACATAAATTATTCGCTCTGGTGGCCATGCGACATATCATGTTCAAATTTTCTACAATCTACCGAGTTTCAAGGCTGTTGACTATTTTTCCTGAGCTAGATGGATTGACCATCCCCCCAATGGTTACCAAATGCACACACAAGCGGGGTTCAAGAATTACTGGATCAGCGAGCGAATCCCAGCAGAGCTGAATTAACTGTCTAGTGCTGTTTGCCGGTCATCGTACAGATAGGCTACATTCAAGTTGCGGGAAATGAACGAACTCCTTTACGAGAACAACAATGTGCGGATCTGTGATCTGGTATAAATGTTCTACCAGGTATCCATTTATTCCGATGTACTGAAAATCAGTTTATAAACCCACCTAATCACAAAGAAGCAACCTACCGCACTGGTCGCAGATCGATTGCGAGCAGTACTAACCATTTATTGTTTACGTGGAGTGACGCTGGAATGTTGATTAGATCAGCGCTGCTGTACGTTACTATTATTATTACCATTACGTGTTATTATTATTATTATTATTGTGGTGATTTATATAACCTGAATGAAATGACAAATAAAATAAAGAAAACCAAATATCATATCTTGCTTGATTTTCTTTAATAGTCGGCCGCCCATCTGGTCCTCATTGTACTCGTCGCTATCGGCTACAAAACGAAACTATGCGCAACCGTACTCTTCGTTTGGCTGACAATCATGAATTTTGTGTACAACCGANGGGATTTTATAAAGTATGATTTCTTCCAAACATGGTCTGTGATTGGTGGACTAGGTTTGATTGTTGCCTATGGACCAGGCGGAGTAAGTGTAGATGATTACAAGAAAAAGTGGTAAATATTCTGTGCCGTGATGTTGTGCAGTCTCTTTGTCTCTGTCTCAGCTATACTTTTGCTCCTTGTCCGTCTGTCCGGACCTGAACGTCTCTACTCCATCCTCCTGTACCACAATGTCGCTAAACTGTCGTTTCCCTTCGTGACATGTTTTCCCCCGGTGACCACTCGCTTGTTACTGGGCTACTGANTTCGCCTCTTTATTTGCCCCCCCCATCCTGTCCTGTTTGATCGAACGCATGGCTAGGTATGCGGACCAATTTGTTTTCCTTCGTTCGTCAGGTGGATTCCAAGCCGAGCACGTCACTGTCGACTGAAACCTGTTTTCTTTTTTCTCATTTGGCCCATTCTTTTCATTTTGTCCTGCTTGTAATTGATGACACACACTAACGTTTGTCTATACGAGTTCCTTCACTGTTTTCATTCAACTGTCTTTTTCACCTCGACCGGATCTATATGTCACTACTTTACCAACCGGCGTGCACCTCCTCCCAAGCTTCCTTCCAAGCGGATGACAAATCTTTGTATTAAAATGAACTGGTTAACGTTTTTTGTGTGCCTGATTTCACATAAGCGGATCTTTACGCTGAAAAGATGGAGTACACAGTCATTGACTTAGCTGTTACACTCCTTTGAATGATGTGATGTTTCAGCACACAATTCTGGCATTTCCCCGTCCACTGGCTGGAAAAAATGTTGTGTAGTTGCGTTTGGCACTCTTCAGGTTACTCGTCTCAACTTGAAGAATAAACATGTGGATTTCGTTTTCTTCCAATATTTTTTTTCTAAAACATGATCGCTTTTGTATGCTTCTTTACTTGGGATCCACATTCGAGCATCTTGATTTTGATGAACGAGGATTTACCATTCTAAGCAGCCACGACCTAATTCCTAGGACTTACAGTAGCGACCAGATAAGATCTTACCGGGATACGTGTCGTTATGAGCCGGATGACGGAGAAGTTGTCTACCACAAAGTTGGGTGGCGGTGGCTAGATGGAGGGGTATCTCAGACCTTTGAGCACAGAGCGATCCAGTGAAGTCGGTCTAAACTGATTTATTAGCACCAAACACAATCGAACTGAACGCTTATCGGCCCTTGAACGGGCATAACAGAACAATGCTAGGGGGAAACAAGGATGGTATATATTCAATCCACAGGGCAGATGAGATGGCGTCTGTATACTGTAACATTACAAGCCGTTCTGTGTCATGAAAATGCAAGTGCATATGAAAACCGATGCTGAAAACCAACATGATGTCATATGAACAGAAATAGGCGGGTTTTTAATACATGAACCTCACACGTGAATCGCTTAGCAGATAGGGTTGCCCCCTTACATAATCTACCTCAAATCGTACAGTTTAGCGAAAAGCTTTATTAAATCAAAATACATTTGTGAACCGTCGTCTGCGGAACGACCACGTGGACAATACAAGTAAACTGTACATAGTGGCATCCAGTCCATGAGGTTCTGTGGTAAGTTATTTAAAATTGGTTGCTGTGGAGACCACACGGGGCTGATTCACTGTGGTTAGTCCGTAAGGTACATGCGTGGTCGGTCCGGCACCGACTGGCATTGTGGGCAAACCGGGACCACCGACACCGGAACCCAACAGACCACCAGTGCGGATCAACTCGGCTTGATTTTGTGCGACCAGTTTAGCTACATGTTCACGGGTGAGCAGTGCCAAGCCCAATTGATCCTCTTTGTTAAATGGCTGACCCATTAGGCGGAGAAATCGCCGGGATGCTTGAACGGCCTCTTCGGTGGACAAGTTCACAAATGCGTCTTGCAACTGAGTTTGAATCCAGCTGGGCAACTTGGAGCGTTTGTCCGCCCGAGCGTATCGCTGAAAGGTGAGCAAATGAGTGTTTTCACGTACGATTTATTAACAGATTAAATGAACCAGGGAAGTATTCTCCACAAGAATGCAAGCATTACCCTGAGTGCATCTTACNTACACAGGTGCATCACACAGAACAATTTTTTAACTGAACACTAGTGTGATAAACGGCAGAGGGGGTAAACCACAAAGTCATGAGGACCCGCTGTTCAGTGACGGAAATCGGCTAGCTAAGCCCCGCGGGACTTGGAGTGTCAAACCACATAAGGCCGAGCTGGGTTAGATGTGGTATTGAACCGGATGACAAATGGCAAGATAATTAGTCATGTTCACAGATTCGGATCAACTCTACAATCCGAACCTCTTCCCTATGAAATGTCAACCTGAAATGAGTCACAAACTCACAC